GATTTCAGTGAATACCTCCTCAATTGTCATGCTCTCCTGATACTTTTTCAAAAATTTCGAATTTTCAAATTTCAGTAAATATTTCCTCAATTTTCATGCTCCCCTAATACTTTTTTGAAAATATCGAATTTTCAAATTTTCGTGAATACCTCCTCAATTGGCATGCTCTCCTGATACTTTTTAAAAAATTTCGAATTTTCAAATTTCAGTGAATACCTTCTCCATTTTCATGCTTCCCTGATACTTTTTTCAAAATTTCGAATTTTTCGATTTCAGTGAATACCTCCTCAATTGTCATGCTCACCTGATACTTTTTCAAAAATTTCGAATTTTCAAATTTCAGTGAATATTTCCTCAATTTTCATGCTCCCCTGATACTTTTTCAAACATTTTGAATTTTCAAATTTCAGTGAATACCTCCTCCATTTTCATGCTTCCCTGATACTTTTTTGAAAATTTCGAATTTTTCGATTTCAGTGAATACCTCCTCAATTGTCATGCTCTCCTGATACTTTTTTGAAAATTTCGAATTTTTCACTTTCAGTGAATACCTCCTCCATTTTCATGCTCCCCTGATGCTTTTTTGAAAATTCCGAATTTTTCAATTTCCGTGAATATCTCCTCAATTGTCATGCTCTCCTGATACTTTTTCAAAAATTTCGAATTTTCAAATTGCAGTCAATACCTTCTCAGTTTTCATGTTCTCCTGATACTTTTTCAAAAATTTCGAATTTCCAAATTTCCGTGAATACCTCTTCAATTGTCATGCTCTCCTGATACTTTTTCAAAATTTCGAATTTTCGAATTTCAGTGAATACCTCCTCCATTTTCATGCTCCCCTGATACTTTTTTGAAAGTTTTGAATTTTCAAATTTCAGTGAATACCAATTTCGTAACTCGGAAAATAACATCCACCTCATCGACTGGTCCCTTCTGACGACGGGACTGCTATACTGAATATTACCAAAGAAGTAACTTCGGTTTTGTTCGGCTCGACTGGTGGGGAACACGGCCACAAGTGGGGATTTCGGAGAGTGGGAGTTACGGCCGAGGTTACTCCTCTGACAACATTCACTATACTGAGGCAGTTACCGAGTCGGCTGACGGGTAGACACCCCAGCTTCGCGTGTGGCGCCCTCCCTCTCTTGGGGTGCAGTACTACAATGCCGTTGGAGTCCTTCAAACCCCCAGAACTGAAGCTCTACTTTAATCAGTCCTCTTTGGTCACATCTCCTCATCACAAGATTAATTACCATCGATCGATAATATCTGGTGAGTAACCCACTGATTGGATATAATTTCTAGTGTCTCCATTTGACCCACAAATTCTAGACCTGTTTTGGTCCGAGTGGATCCATAAACCCCATCCCATGGAGAAAAGCATTCTCCCCAAAACCATTAGTCCAGGAATCTTTTTCAATTATATCTAACCACGATAAATGAGCAGGACAAATTAATCATTGCTCGTTACTCCTACCCTGTATTTTTATTCAATACCATTGTCTGTCCGCTTTGAAAATTGATTTTTCCTCATCATACTTTACCAGGATGAAATACCATCATTAATCAATTCATAATTACAGTAATTAATGAACAGTACTTAATAGGCCAAAAATATTTTGGCTGGAAATACTTCGTTCTATCATTATTTTTCACCTCAGAATAACAATCATGAATATGAAATTTTGTATTTTTATGTAATGAAGAAACTTTTGGAAAATTACCGCTGCAATTTCAAGCAAAAAAATTGAAATTTCTTAATTGACGAATCGGCTAATAGTCCGGAAATTCTCAACTTTCTGCTTCAGCGAAAATTCAATAGTATTTTATATTAAATTTTTACTACGATTGTTTGAAAAATCCATCATTCTTTTTTTTTTAATTGTTGAAAAATATGGAACATAATTATTTAACATGAAAAACCTAATTATCTTGAATTTCCATGAAAAATGGGGTCTCTAGCGATCGTTATTATTTCAAATTGACTTCCGACCGATAATTAAAAAATTAGATTATCATAAACTTTCCAAAATAACAAGAAATTCCCAACAGTGTATTTCCCACCGAATTTCCACCATTTTCCAGCGTTTTTTTTTCAATTTCCTGATACTTCCTGACGACCGGAAAAAAAAATCAAGCAACATAAATTGATGATTGTGCATCTAAACCCATAACTACCCCACACTCACTGGCAGATGGTGCAGGTGATTACGTCACCAAAAATCGTCTAGTTTATGCACAAGGGTGGGCGAGGGTGATTTAGGGTGGCATAAGGGAGGTCGACCCTTACTTCAAAGAGTAGGGGTTGCCAAAGTGAAAAGAGTGGGGGATCACGTCAATATGTGGGTGAGAGGGGGGTTGAAACTCCCTGTGAAAAATCTACACAGAGATACCAACATCTTTGTTAAATACGAAATGCTAAAGTGCGCGGGTACCAACTGCACAAGCATGGACGGAAGTTGGTACAGTCAATTCTGACGAAGGGTAGGAGGGGTGGTGGAGAGCAAGATGGAGAGAATAGGGGGATAAAAAGGGAAAGGGGGTGAGGAGTGATATGGGATTGACAAGGGGAGGAAGGGGAGAAAGGGGTGGGAGTATGGTAGGGAGTGGAAGAGGGTGAGGAAAATGAGATGAAGGGGAGATGAAGGGGAGACGAAGGGGAGATGAAGGGGAGACGAAGGGGAGATGAAGGGGTGGGAGAGCAAGTACGAAGTGTGCGCGACAGTTTAGTTGTGTAAAAGACGCGCGCAACTAGAATAACGCGGTGGACTAGTGGGGGGATGAATAGGGGTTGATACGGGGAATTGTTGAACGCGTTAGGTAGACGCCATGATAGGGGAGGAAAAAAGCCGCGCGGATGAGAGATTAAACCCCCGTGTGTGGCCAGACGGCACGACCGGCACCGTGTCGCTTTAACTAGAAGAGAAACTCAAGGAGTTACCAATGAAGGGACTATTTACTTATTTCAGGGATTATTGTTACAGTGAAATGTGAGGATAAATGGGATGTAGGCTAGTG